AGAAGAGGCAATAATTACCTGCAACAAGGTCAACTGTGCGGACAAGGAAGTAGCTTCTGTCTGAAGAGTATGGACTTTCCTTTAAGCTCAGCAATGTACCTCATCTTCCTTTCCTTTGACCTAGCAGCTGATTGCCTATTTGCCCAAATCCTGGTACACAATGGATGGAATTTATGGATGTGAGAGGATTAAATAATAAAATGCTCTCACCCTCTCAACGAAACTCCAAGCAGGAAACATGCATATGCTAACCATATGAAGATAGGAAAAGCCACTGGAGTTTTTGATCACTTGATAATGGAAATAAAAAAGAACAGCACCAATCAAATTCAATGAAATTCAAGTTAAAAGATTACTACTAGAGATAGAGGGAGAGAGAATGAAAGAATACAACAATATAGGGATTATCCTACCAAACAAAGTAAATGAAGAACCACCCTTTGCATTCATCAATATGATATTTTCTGAGAAAAGTGATAACTATACCTCCTCTGCATTGGGAACTGGCAGAAATGCTTGCAAAAGGGGTGGTGCTGACAATTCAATAAGGCAAAATTTTCAAATTAAATTACTTTTTGAATTTTCCTTTATTTACAGACTCACCTGCTTATCTTATCCAATGAATAAAAATGTAGCATTGCAAGAAGAGATTGTCATTTTTGTTTACAGAGCTGATGAAAAGTAATGGTACAACGAAATGGAAAGTAGTTATCGCTGGCTTCATTCTTGAAATGTCAGGCAGCAAGAGTTATACAAAGATATAAATATAAATGAATTAATACTGTGTTGGTCAAAAGACGAGAAAAGTGGAAAGAAGAACACAGAGGAGGAGGAAGGGTGACCTCCTAGCCACTCTTGAATTTGATTGAATTGCCAACACATCATCTGATTCAAGAGAAGAAGTCAAAGGGCTCAGTGACCTGGTTTGAATTGGCACGATATATAACATTCTGACCTCTATAATTTTCCAAATTTGCCCAACAAATAACCATTTAGATTAAATCTATTGATGTTCTCTCCCCTCTATTTCTGTATCTCCAGACCATTTTTGTAACAATCGGAATGGACATACAAGTCCCAAAACAGGGAGCAGCCTTCTGGATAATCCAATCCATGAGGTCACCAAACCCACCGGCAACGTTACAGATTCAGACAGCTATGAGAAAAATAACACGGCCATGCCATGATACTCTAGTTGCCAAGTTCTATGTACATGGGCTGTCAACAGAATACATCCAAGAATTGAAGACAAAATTTCATCCATGTGTATTGGGTAAGTACAAACTACCAGCCACGTGGAATATATAGAAGAATAGGAAAAGATTCAGGCCTGCATTGTCATTTGTTTGATGAGTTCCTATATCGGGTGATAAACAGAAGCCGACAAAAATGTAGATGACAAATTTAATGCTTCAGCAAAGTAATAGGTCAAAGTACGAACAAGAACCAGAAGAACTAATAGGCATCACGTGAATATATTTATAGCCTCAAGCAAAAACCTTACCTCTTAGCTCGTTTTGGATCAACAAGAGCAAGCTCAGCAAGCTTAGCTGCAGATACAGCTTTCTTTGATTCGGATAGAGATGGCTCTTCCGAACCAGACATGAGCATCTCTGGCTTGATAGACCCATCCATGGATTGGCTATGCTGATGCCTGACTCTTGGCTTCTCGCTTACAGCAAGAGCCTCATAATCAGTTGAAGAGTTGGCTAAAGAACAGGACTTCAACACTGGTGAATTAGATGATTCACCCACTTGGACTGCAGAAGTGCCAGATGTTGAATTGAACTTATCCATGTCAAGATACAGTGATAACAGGTCTTCTTGAGTCTCATCAGACAATGATGGCCCATCAAATTCTCCCACAACACCAAGATCACTATCAAAGCTAATATCATCAGGAAGGGTAAGAATCTCTGAGTGAGCTCGTCGGTGTCCCAGATTCTTAGGTGGGTTATCGGGCATTCGGCTTATATCATCTAACTGCATCCCATGACCAAAATGACCCTGCTCTGATGAATTCCCTGGACCTAGTGGAGGCAAATTTGATGATCCCATTTGCTCAGACATTGCATGATAACCACTACCAGGAGGAGAAAAAACAGAGAACCTCCCTGATGGAGGCAGTAAACTCCCAGTGCCATGGTTAGAAGACTTATCTTTATCCATCAAGAACAATGTTTTTTTACTTCCAGAAGGCTCCTCAACTAGTAGTAATGATATTTTGAACCTTAAGACACAGCAAAACTTGAAATTAATTACCAACAGACTTAATTCCTGACTTGTACACAAACACATCATTAAAGAAAAACCCTAAAGGTTACTCTTTTTCTTATTAATTTGAGAAAAAAGGTGCTGGATCTAAAGAGGAAATATTAGATTCAGTACAACAAAATGAAAAATGTACACACCAAAAAAAAAAAAATCTAAACAAAGATCTTATTATTCAATGAGCTTTAAAAAAAACAGAGCACAGTCATCACATAAAAAAACGAAAAACAGAGTAAAGCAAATACGTTCATATATAAACTCAGATTAAAAAAAAAAGTGCAACGGGGAAGACGGGAATCGAAAAAACAGAGAATTAAATTAAAAAAAAAAAAACTTACAGTCAGAATTTTTCTTTTGACTGTTTTCTGAATTCTGAAATGAGATTGGATCTCTATAAACAGTATAAAGAGAATTCAAAAGGTTTCACATGCGAAGGAGTAGCCATGTAAGTCACATCTCACATGGTCAGATGGATAGAGAGAGAAATACACCAAGCTTCAAAGAAACGATATATCATATATATGTAAGAGGGATACAAATAGATACATATATACATACACAGACACAGTTGTGTGGCTTGACCGTGTTTAATAATAAAAGAAAGTCATTAATTACTTTTTGATAAATTTTAATAAGTCAAATCTCAATTTTAATAAGTTCTACTCACAATTTTTATCAATTCTATATTTTATTAATTTTTACTACGTTCATGTTCGATGAAAATTAAAATTTTAATACATTTTGATAAAAATTAATAAAATATAGAATTGTAAAGTTACGAATTTCATAAAATATTTGATTAAAATTAATTATTGACATTGATTTAAATTAAAATATTTAATTTTAATCCGACTATAATTTGCTAAATAAAAGAAGGGGCGGCGTTTTCATATGATATGGACCCGACATGGCCCCACTAGGGGTAATTGAATTTTTTGGTCATTTTCATTAATTATTTTCAATTTCTATGTAGATTCTATCGAGCAACAAATTTGTAAAGTTTTTTCATTGGAAATTAATGTTCAATGTTTGTTCCGTTAGAGAAAGGGGGATAATTTTTTGGGAAGTGCTATGTGTAGTGTGTACACAATAGTTTACACCGTCTTTTAAACCTCCCTCACATGGAGAGGGCCCACATACAATAAAATATGAATAATGCTAAGTGTACATAATTTTTTACACAATCTTTTACACCTCTCTCACATGGAAGGGGCCCACACATAATAAAATAATCGTGGACCCCCCTCCATGTGAGAGAGGTGTAAAAGTGTGTGTACATGTAGCATTACCCATAAAATATTTTGTGGGCCCCCTGCATGTGAGGGGGTGTAAAAGATTGTGTGCACCACAAGATATACACATAGAATAATCCTAATTTTTTTTTTCAATGTTAATCGAGATTGTTTAGGTGTGGATATTGATGCATAAGGTGTGATTAATAAAATTATGTGCATTTTGTCATTATAGTTGCATTAAATTCTTTTTAAAGAAAATAATGTATTGAAAAATCTAACTTGTAACGTGATGTCTAGTAGAGATGTTGCAGATATGTACACGAAGCAATACAAAATATAAATTCTTATGAAAACGATAAAACATGGAAATAGACAAGTTTTGCTTGTATGCTCATTTTTTTGGAAGATCATATACTTTTAACTCTATGAATCAAGTCACAATGTGTCATGCTTATTTCAGACGTGGGCTGACATGGATGCCACATAAGATTGTGTATCCATGTCGTGCCTTGCACCACATCATCTGTATATGAAGAAGGTTGACACCTCTTAAAACAATGAGGGTTTCTTAATTTGTTCACAAGCGCGTTAGGGATAGCAATTTGAACTGTGAAAATCGAAAACCGCGGTTAACCGAACTGAATGGGACGAA